GGGTCCCGCTCCTCCCTGGAGCCAGGGACGGGACTCCCCTACCCCGCATGGCACCCACCTGCCTTGGGACACAGCAGGACAACCCCCGCCTCCCCCGTACCTGCTTGTGCACATCAGTGGGGGAGAAGTCCCCGAAGGCCTGCCAGCCGTTCTCGTCATCCTCGTAGAAACGCACCTCGATGTCATCTGGGGAGAGAAGGGGCACTGGCACCGCCTGTATCCCCACCCCGGCCAGGCTCTGGGGACACGGACCCCCGGCCGCCCAGGGGCCCCAGATCTCTCCCGCTGCAGACCCTCTGGAAGGTTTTGGCTGGAGGGTATGGCTTTTACCTTTCTGAACTTTATCACACAGCAAGTAGACCTCGTCCCCTCCCCGCACTGAGCCTGCCGTCTTATCCATCCGCGAGATCTTCAGGTTAGAAGCTCCTGGGGACTCTGCAGAGTGAGAGGAGGCATTGGGAGCCACCATGGCAGACAGAGCATCCCTCATCTCCTTTCCCCATCTTGCTCCATCCCTTCCCTGGCCCGGCCCCACGCTCACTGCTGTCATGGATGGGGTCTGAGATGACAGGCCGGAGGGCCAGCGTGAAGTTCCCGTTGCTGTCGCGGAGGTAGGCGGTGAAGCGCAACCGCACGATGCTCAGGTCCATCACCTTCTTCAGCTCCTTCGCCTCCAGCTCGATCTCACGCAGCTCTGCTTCTGCTGGGGCAGGGGGAGATGCCATCAGGCTGGGCAAGGGGACAGGGTTCCAGGTCCTCCTGCCCGTCCCCGACCAACCCCCCAGCTGTCACCCCACAGCGGGTCCCCGCTCCCCCCAGGGCACCAAGTCCCACCGAGCCCCCAGGCTGCCCTCACCTGTCGGCAGATGGCTCCTGTTACGCATCTTCTGTTTCTTCAGCTTTTCCTTCATGATCTCCATCATGTTCTTCTTGGTGACATGGAGCACGCCCAGGTTGCTGAACCTGGAGGAGAAGAGGGATCCCGCTGGGATCTTGGGAGTGCCCTGGCTGGGAGCAGCCGGCCCAGGGGGGCTCACAGGCTCCCGTGTGCTGAAGGGAAGAAGCTGAGCAAAGCACAGAGCGGTGCCGCTCGGGGCAGTGGGGGCTCGACACGTGCAGGGCAAAGACAAGCAACCACAGAGGGGAGGGAAGGAGCCCAGAAAAGAGGTGGCTAGGAAACTCCAGGCTCCCACAGGTGACAAGTCCAAAGCAGGGGACCAGGAGAGCTGGAGGCCAGAGGGATGCAGATGGGACCAGGCTGAGCCAGCAGCCGGGGCTGGATTTACAAGAGCTAAAAGAAACTTCATATGCAGCAGTAAAGTGTACGCAGCTCCCGCCCCTCCTGTCCCACTCCAGCAGACGACCCAGGGAAAACACCGTCTTCTCCAAACCGGGCTGCTGGGCCAGCAGTGTCAGGGCACAGGGACACCTGAGCAGCCAGGAGCTTGCCTGCTCCTGCCTCAGCAAGTGCCCGGGCAGAGAGCCTTTCCGCCTGCCAGCGCTCACTGAATAACCCCGCGACTCAGGCTGGCTACAGAAGCCATCTGCAAAGCTGGGGAGCTGCAACCCCGAGGACAGAAGCCCAAATCAAGCTGCACGTGCCGGACCCACAGCTGGGCAAAACGCTGAGGGGACAGAGCTGTACCGATGACCTTGTCTAAACCCACTCCTGGCCCCATCCGGCAAACCTGGCTCCTGGATGCACTAACCTGCCTCTTCTCCCCAGCCCGTGAGCTGCAGACAGCCCCCCAGCCACCCCACGTAGGCAAGAGGCCACCCCGGGTCTCCCTCCGCACGTACTGAGCCGTCATGTCCTTGGGTCCCACGATCGCAATGCAGTTGCCGGCCTCGTTACACTGCTTGCCCACCAGGCTGTGGGCATGCACACGGGGAGGGTCACTGTGCGTCACCAGGTCCACCTCGATCCGGGCCATCCCTGTGTAGTTGCAGATCTGTGGGGAGAAAGGAGATGGGAATCAGGTACAATATCCCAGGAGCCTGCAGGACTCTCTGCAACCCCCTGCTATCCCTCCCCATGGCCATCACCCCTCCTGCTGCAGCCCTCCCATCCCTCCAGCGCCAGGAAACACACAGAGCTTAATATACAGGTCACGTCTTTCCTTCGAGGCACCCTCCCGGTGCTCGCACACACCGGCCAAACACACTGCCCTGTCCCCTTCCCAGGGCAGCGCTCACCTTGACGGTGGGATAGGTCTTGCGCCCTTTCTCGCTG